AGCGGATAAGCATGGTGGGGGCCGCCGCGTGACTCTCTGACGTCGAGTCGATAATAACCCCGTGCCATGGGAGCCCGTGCAGCGGCGAGGAGGGTGGGGAGGGGGTTGCCAGTTACGACCCGCTTATTGTCAGTTTGTTGACAAGTTATTTCTGGAAGAGATTCGGGGCCATCCAAGTAGTGGGGACGAATTAGATTATTGGAGGGAGAACTGGGATTTAGGACAAGGGTCATAGGTGATAGGCGAGGAAGGTGAGGGCAGATTTTTAGGACTCGTTGACCTGGGAGTTTGGATTTTTACAGCCCGGGGGAGAGTGGAGGATTAGGAAACAATCTGTAATTACCGAAAACAATTACAAAAAGATGAGTTTCTTTTTTCTTTAGCTTCTTGGAGCAGCTATCAGAAATTTCGCATGTTTGGATTCAACAATTGACCAGTCGGCTACGGTAAATTTCTTCGATCATTTCTCTTTGCTCTTAAATGCGGAATAAAATGCTAAAATTTTGCATCGAGTAACAAAAAATTCGTTTGAAGAAGTTTAGTGGGCGTTAAAGCCAATCAAAAAGGCATTAAAATTAACTTTTAGTGCCTAAAAAATTGCCGGGCTCAAAAAAGCCTAATATTAGTGTGTGGAATGGTGTAGAAGAAAAGAAAATGACATGCAATGATTTCCCTTGTAGTGGTGTGCATGCTCTGAACTGGCGGTGCAGATTGTGCGGCTCAGGTTCGAAGGGACTGGCGTAACTGTGCCTAGCATGTGAGCTCACTCCAGTAACACAGTTGGCATTAATTTTCCTCATCATTTTCCCAGACGATCGTGCTAATAATCATAGAATGAAGTCTTGTGGAGGAGATTATTCGTTTTTGCAACATTGTGTTAAACCTATTTGCAGAATTTGCGGAAGCTTGATGCACTGCTCAGCACACTGGCTGCACAGTTAGTTTTTTTTTTTTTTTTTTTCTCTTTTTCTGGACAGTCTGCACTGTAGAGAGTTTGCGAAAGAAATATGAGGCAGTATCACGATTACCGTTCTGAATCAAGAACGGTGCAATACAGGCACCTTTGGAAGTGGGAAGGCATAGGAGGTGAAGCGTTGGGAAGAGTGTGGAGCTGTGGGATATGCTTGCTGTTTGTGTGCGTAGGATCGTGTAATTATATGTATGTGCTGTGCAATAATTCTCTTCCATGGTTTCCGTAACTCGACTGTCGGCATAAAGAATTAGTTATAATGACTGTCACACTTCTTTTGCATGCGCTACAATAGCCTGACCAATATAGTTACCAGATGCTGGGCCTTCACTAGTCATTCTTTGTTTTTTCTCACCTCGCTAAAAACTACAATACACAATCAACTAGATCCTCGCTACCAAATTACCGTTGATGTAGAATTCATATAAAAACTGTTGAAAGATTATCTATAAGAACTGAACAGAGACTGTTTGCTTTCAGGTGCATGTCGGTGAGTAATAATTGATTTTGCTGGGACTATGTGTACGAAGAACTCCTTGAAATTTTTGGAATAACGTGTTAGAAGTTTTTGGATCGTTTACCGGAGAGGCGAGGAAAGTTTTTTATGTAGTTCTTATTCTTCTGTACTTTCTGTTTTCAGGTTTTTTAATAAGATCGATGATAGGAGGTCACTGTCATTCAAAAGTACTTCATTTGCTACACTGGCGCCATGTTCATTTTTAGACACAAATTCAGGCATGGTGCAAAGTATTTGACATCTTGAAAATATTTTTTTAAATTCTGTTTTATCCAAAAATTTTCAGAATTTTTTTTATTCTGAGTGATTGAGAGGACGATAGAAATGCTGTTCTGCAGTTTGACTAGACTTTCACTGCTGTTTAAATCAGTGTTCAGGAAGTTGTCAAATTCTTCCACATGCAGAGAAATACTGCACTGTGGGACATAGATGGTCGCACTTCCGCATAAGATCGCAAAATCTTCTAATGCAACGTTAAAGT